ACTCCTCCTGGTCCTCCTCCTCCTCCCTCCCTCCCTCCTCCCTCCCTCCCTTCCCCCTCCTCCCTCCCTTCCTTCCCCCTCCTCCCTCCCTCCTCCCTCCTCTCGCACTTTCTTCTGACTGGTACTTCAGCTTGCCGGAGCAGCTCGACCCTGCGGCGCACGACGAGGTCCCCTGCTCCACTTCAGCTGCTCTCCAGCTCACTCAGCCGCAGAACGTGGACGAAGGAAGCTCCGAGCACAAGTTCATGCAGAAGTGGCTCTCGAGGATCACCGGGGAGGTCAGCTCGAGGTCAGCTGGGGTCGGAGTTTGACATCCTTGAAGGTTGTGAGCCTCTACGTGGAGAAGATTCTCGAGATACCCGCGCTCTCACCTTCAGGTCGCGTCCAGCTGGGCACAGACATCCAGTACATCTCTTCCATCCTCGACACTCTCGGGGCACCAGGTCTCTCCCACCACCGCCCTCCTCCCTCTCCTCCCCCCTCCTCCCTCCTTCTCAATCCTCCCTCCTACCTCCTCCTCCACTTCTTCCTTCTCTTCTTTCCTCGTTTGCTCTTCTGTCTGCACCTGCTTCCTCCTCCCTCCTCCTCCATCTTCCTCTTCTCTTCGCACGCTCCTGCTTCCCCTGCCTTCATCATCTCCTCCCCTCGTCTTATCCTCTTCCTCTCGCTCCTCCTTCCCTCCATCTCTCTGACGCTCGAGGTCGCCAGGTCTCGAGAGGCTGGAGCAGCTCCGCAAGCTAGTGGAGGCAGCCGACTCGGAGTTCGCACAGGCTTGTCTGACGGTCCCAGCGCTCGATCGCAACGTCGTGGACAAGGTTGCGCGGCAGCGAATGGCAGGAGGAAGCGCGAAGTAGAGAAGGAGGGTGAGGCGTGCGAAGAAATCTTTATGTACAGTTGATTGCAACAAGTCAAACTCACTCAATCCTCTCCTCCTCCTCCTCCTCCTCCTCCTCCTCCTCCTCCTCTTCCTCTTTTCTCGCTTCTCGTCTACTTTACATGAGCGGTCAGGTGGGATGCATGATCACCACAACTCCCGTGCTGTACTCTACCGCCTTCCCTCCTCCTCCTCCGCTGCCCTTCACCTCCTCCACTTTCTTCTTCGACCTCATCCGCGAGTAGAAGCTGACAGCAGCCACCACCACCAGCCCAGCTGGGACCGCGCAGGCCACGTAGATGACTGTCTTGCTCGAGCTGCTCCTGCCGTCCTCAGCCCCTGGCGGTCCAACTTGAGCGCCGACTCCAGCTGAAGCTCCAGCTGAAGTTGAGGAGGGTTGGGGCTTGGGGGTTTCAACCAGGGTCTCGATGACCTTGACAGGAGCTGCTTCAACCCGCACGTAGTTGACGCTGAATCCGGAGGTTGTCAAAGTCGCTCTCAGCTGGTCCTGAGCTGAGCTCGTCAGGATCCGCGAGCTCGTCTGCTCGTCCGTCTTGATCCGGAAGGAGACGGTGAGGGGTCGCGACTCCTGCCGCCTGCCGGACGAGGAAACGCCTGACACCTGTACGTTGGCTGAGCTGACGGCCAGCCCGGCACCCACGGCCGAGACGAAGTCCAGCTGACGGGCAAGGAAGGCGTTCTTGGAGCTGTTCATACCTGCAGACATGCTCAGCAGCATGTAGCTCGTCTGCCCTGCCCCTCCTGAGGACAAGGAGGCGAGAGTCGCGTTGGTCTCGGCTGAGCATACTCGATCCGCCATGTCTGTGCATGCTGACACCTCCACCTCTCCAGCAGCGCAGGGGGAGCATGCCGTGCAGGAGGAGGAACCGGGGGCCGCGGAGAAAGAGGCAGGCGGGCAGGGAGAGCAGCCTGAGGTTTCCATGAAGCTCCCGGAGGGGCAGACGCATGCCGAACTCGAGCTGCTGCCCAGCTCAGAGGTGGCGCCGGGAGGACAAGCTGAACACTCTTGCGAGCCCGGGCTGGTCTTGTACTTGCCGCCCTCGCACTTGGAGCAGCTGCCGCTGCCAGTGTAGCCGGGGTCACAGAGACAGTCGGCGATGGTGAAGCTGGAGGCAGGAGCATGCGAGTTGGCCGGGCAAGGAGAACATCGGGTGTTGTCGAAGAGAGCGCAAGCAGCCTCGACGTAGTGGTCAGCTGGGCAGGCGGAGCAGGCGAGGCAGTAGCACTTGCCAGGCTGGAAGAACGGGACGTCCTTGATGGTGTAGGTGCCGATCTTGCACTGCAGCTTGCAAGGGTTGCATAGCGTGTCCTTGCTCGGCGTGCAGTTGGCAACGAAAGCAGCTTCGGGGGGGCATACGCTGCACTGCGAGCATGAGGAGGAGGCGTAGGAGGAGGCGAAGTTGAAGCCAACGCAAGGAGAGCAGCTGTCAGACCCCTGGGTCGACTTGTACGTGCCGGGTTCGCAGGAGACGCATTCCTCCCCGTTTACGCCGGTGAAGCCCGCGTTGCAGGTGCAGTTGGAGCCCGAGGTCGCTCCCTCCTTCTCCGTCGTCGCATTGGGAGGACACGCCTGACATGCCGTCGCTCCCAACGAGTCCGAGAAAGTCCCGAGGCTGCAGTCGGTGCAGGAGCCATTGCCGGGAAGCCCCTTGCTCTTGCCAGCAGCACATGCTGAGCAGGCAGTCCGGCTTGTTTCGTTCCCTCCTGCAGACGCGTCAGTCAGTCACGCACCTCTCCGCTCCTCCTCTCACCTCCGACTGTCTGCACCTCGTACCCAGCATCGCAAGAGCAGGCGGAAAGAGAGGAGCTGCCGGCGGGAGAGAAGGAATTCACAGGACACGGCAAGCACGAGCTCATGTTCGTGGAGGATGTTTGTGGGTTGTAAGTGCCTGCTGGGCACTGCTGGCATGAAGTCAGTCCGTCACTCTTGTACGTTCCTGCTAAGCAGCCGACGCATTCTCGTTCGGCCAGCTGGAAGCCCTCGTTGCACAGACATCCGTCAGCAGAGGTGGTCGACTCCGAGGAGTAGGAGTTGGGTCGGCAGGAGAAGCAGGCAGTCGCTCCTCGCGAGTCCATGTAGGTGTCAGCTGGGCAAGGAGAGCAGGTGCTCTCCAGTATCGAAGCCTTGTACTTGCCGATCTCGCAGAGTTCACATCCTTGGGTGGATATGTAGAAGCCCAAGCCACACACGCAGTCAGACAAGGACGAGCTTCCTCTCCCGCTTGTCGTCGTGTTGCCAGGACATACCGAGCAGGCCGTGCTTCCTGTTTGGATAGCGTACTTTCCCAGCTCGCAGAGCGTGCACACGCTGCTGCCCGTCCTGTTCGTGTACTGTCCTGCTTCGCAAGCAGAGCAGACGCCAACAGACAGCAAGTAGAAACCAGCGTTGCAGAAGCAGCCGTTGAGAGAGGACGCGCCGCTGTTGGACCACATGCCTGCAGGACACGTGGAGCAGAATGATGACCCTGTCAACTCCATATAGCTCCCAGCTGGACAAGGCGAGCAGGACCCGCTCCCGTCAAGGTTCTTGTACCTGCCAGCTGGACAGGCTTGACAGGGACCCCCGTTCGCCCCAGTGTACCCTCGATTGCACGTGCAATTGAGTCTGCTGGAGCTGCCCGATGGGGCGAAGGAGTTGGCAGGGCAGAGATCGCAGGAGGAGGAGCCGGAGACGTTGGCAAACGAGCCTGACGAACAGACTTCGCAGGTGGTGGCAGAGGGGGAAGCAGAGAAATATCCCAGCTGACAGGCGAGGCACCGCTCTCCGTCTTGGGCGCGATAGAACCCTGGCTGACAAGCCTCACACAGACTGTCATTGAATCGCTCGTACCCTGCGTTGCACGTGCAGTTCATGATTGAGATGCTCATTGCTGGCGAGAAAGAGTCTGAAGGACAGGCAAGGCAATCCAACGATGCCACGAAATCTTTGTAGGTACCGGCTGAACACCCGACACAAGACATGGTGCCGTTCGACCCGAAGCCTTTGATGCAGCTGCAGTCGTAGCTTCCTGCTGCTGATGTGCTTGCATAAGGGCAGCTAATGCAGGTCTTGTTGCTGGTAGCAGTTGTAGCTTTGCTGTACTTGCCGGCTTCACAATCGACACACCCGATGCTTCGGTTTTCGACGCCATACTTGCCTGCCGGACAGGCGTCGCACTGCGACTCGTTGCGAACGTAACCGATGTCGCAGAGACAGTTGTCGAGCTCAGAACTTCCATTCGGGGCCTTGGAGTTGGACGGGCAGGGATGGAGCAGACAAGTCTCAAGAGACCTGACGCCTGACTCGGTGCTGTATGTATTGGCGGGGCAGAGCTTACAGACGCCCGGTCCTATCGCATCCTTGTACGATCCAGGAGGACAAGGGACACAGCCGCTAGTCAGGTTGGCGTAATACCCGAGGTCGCAGATGCTGCAGTCATTGCCGTAGTAACCCACGTCACACTCGCACTTACCCCATCCCTCCATGGAATACGAATGAGTCTGACAGCTGACGCAGACCGTCGCAGCTCGAGACGCTGCGAAGGTGCCAGGGGAACAAGCAGAGCAGGTTGATGCAGCAGGAGAAGAGATGTAACCAGGATCGCAGTCCAGACAAGAGGAACTGTGAGACATGTTGGAAAACTTTCCAGCCTGACAAGGAAGACAGGTGGCAAGTCCAACAGAATCTTTGTAGTAACCAGGTTCACAGGGGTTGCATGACAGGTCTGAACCATTCCCATCGGTCAAACGGACCATGTTCACGAAGCGTACAGTCAAGGACTCGTAGTGGTACGGAGGCGTCATGAAGTTCGACCAGCCGATCCCGTCCTTCATGCTGGTCATCTGTGACGTGGCCTTCTCCACCCCATTGATGTTGACCTTGAGAGTCGCAAAATCATCACTTGGCCCGTAGACCCATACGTCAGCCTCTTGGCTAGTTCGCTGAGGGTACAGGACCACTGACATCCCGTCCACTCCCATGGCAGAGAAGTTGGAGCTGATCGACACCCCGACGTCTGCTGGATACGCCCTGCCCCCCCCGCACGCACAGCAGACTGTGTTGGCAGTGCCGCCATCCCCTGAAAGGTCATTGCCGAAATTGATGCAGTTGGAAGGATTCCTCCGGTAATCGGCGCAGCTCAACCCTCCGATGTCAGTCCAGCCTGCCGGGCTGTCCCTGCATGCCGCGTCCAAGGAGCTCAGGTTCCACAGGAAGCTCCTAGTGCCGACCCACTCATACCCTTGAGCACACGAGCAAGCAGCCATGCCACCGACGGTGACTGGAGCAATGTCTCCTGAGTCAACGCAGGTTAGATTGTCTCCCTTGGCACTTGCAGGTCCAGCCAGCCAGAGGACGAGGAGAAGGTGAAGTTGAAAGTTGGTCATCATAGCAGGGTATCAGTCTTAAATGGCAATGGAAGCGATCTTGATATCAGAACCTGCCTGTCTCCCTGCTGTCTCGACCTCGTTTCCTGCTTCCTTGTTCGGCTCTTCTCCCCTCCTCAGGGTTTCTTCGCTTTCTATCTTGACTTGGCCCTTCCTTCTTCCTCCTCTTCCTCCACCCCTTCACCCTCTACCTTGGTCCTTCCCTATCGCTTCTCGCCGCTGCGCCATCAAACCCAAGAGACATCTGCAGGAGGTCAAAGTGTCTGGGCCCCGGGCCCGGGCCCCCGGGCCGGGGCCTGACCAGAGAGGTTTCTGGTCCGACCGTTGGAAACTCAGCGGCATTTGCAGTCTGACTGAAGTCAATCAGGATGTTCGCCGGACTGACTCTACCTCTGTAGGAGAGGCTACTGATGCTCTATGCTACAAACAGAATCGATGGTCTCAGGCCTGACAGTAGTAGAGTCAGCACAGCAGAGTCAGCCTCGTACTGACATACTGAGCCTCGGATCGATAGAGCTCAGTTCAGTGACTGAGATTCCGACAAGGATGATACGTGAGGCTGTTTGAAAGTTAGAGACATGAAGCACAAGTCCTCAAAACACTGGTATGATTTTACTGTGGAATGAATATCATGAAAGAAACAGAGCTTGGCGAGGAGCCGGGAGTGAGTGTTTACATGGACGGTAATACGCTGACATATTTCTGTTTAAGAAACACAACAACAGCAATCATTTACAACGTCATTATCTGCAAAGGTATACAATCAGCAGACCATCATTGCGAGTAAAAGATTTGAATTTTACCTGGAGCATGGTTTTCCTGTTCATCAACGTTGGTATGATGATTTGATGGATCTTCATTCGAATCTGCTGTCGCCAACATTGGGCTAGGCTGCAAGCAACTTGTCTGAGAGCATCTGACACCATTGACGCTCATATCAATGCAAGAATCATCATCCTTGCTTTCATTCCGGCAGGCTAAGGCCAACAACTCTGGAGTCAAAATCACTTGATCTTCGGTCTTGACCGGACGGTTTATTTTGACGATGACAGCTTTCTGAATCAAGCTGTCTTGGAGGTGCGACAATTGAATGTCAACGTCTTCGGGTACAACGCTACTGGCTTGTGATTCTTCAGTGATGAACGCCAAGGAACCTGTTTCAGGCTTCCAGAGCAAGATGGATTGAAGATATCTTTGAATCTGGTTTGCTGCAATTGACTTATCAAATCTCTCTGTTGGTATGTCAAGCCGTGCTTCAGCATCTGCCCCAAACTTTTCTTCAAATGACACCCTCGCCTTTGAATTATTTCCATTCAGAAATCGAAAAGAACCCACGCAATTGAAGTCTTTTCCTTTCTCGTCGTGAAGGGCATGTAGACCAGTCAGTCTCAGAACTGCTTGTCCGTAGATAACAGTTGCAAAGTCCTCACATTCAGCGCATCGTCCTACCAGCACACCAGCAGCGGTCAAGCTCATGATGGTAGCGATGCCTCCTGTAGCGACGGAAAGAGCAACCATACCAGCTCCAGCAGCAATGCCTCCTACAATGGCAGTCGTGGTCCAGGTAGCTGTGTTGTCACTTCTCTTCTCTTCCCAGAAATCTTTCCACTTGGATTTCTTGGGGCCGAGCAAGCGAGCAACGAGGTCGCTTTCATTGACGTAGCACCTCGTTGCACGTGAGAGCTGCGGCAGGACTCGACTAGTCGACATGTCGCGACAAAAGACGGTCAGAGGAGATCCGAGCTGAACGACCTCGAAAGCTTGGAAGAAGTGCTTACATTCGTTCTTCCCCAACATCATCAACCGAGCCACCATCGCAAAGCAACCTCCGATGGCATGTCCCGAGAAAACAAACCTCTTGATGTCATGAGAAACACTGACTGAAAGAAGCTTCGCTACAAAGTCCTCGTAAATCTGTTTCATTCCTTGGTAGATCAAAGTCGAAACTTGAACATTGACATCTTCCTCCAATCGAGTCTTCTCCATCAGCTGTCCGATTCGCTGCGACTTCAAATCGCCAAAAGACGACTTTAAAAACGAAATGACCTTGTCTGCGGTCAGAGATTGAAAATCTTCTTTTTTCTCTATGATTTGAAAGAAAACCAGGAAATCGTCAGCTCCGACAGTGAAGATGACATGACATGTTCCAACATTATCCTTGATGAACACAATTGAAGGAATCAAAGCACTTGACTGCTTTGTCGTCGCTCCTACGGCTGAATGCGACGTGAGCACTTCGAACTTGACACGGTGATTCACAAGTGATGCCAAAAGACCATTTTGCAAAGATTGCACAGGAATCAAACAACAATAGCTATTGAAGCAACACAAATTCAACTTGGCAGCACAAGAGTCCGTCTCATGCTTCAAAGAATTCAAGTTCTTCTTGAGCTCAGAAATGTTTCTTCTCATGGACTTTTCGTTTGCAATCAATTGAAAATCTTCAATGTAACATTGAAGATTTTCAAAAATTGGTTTGAAAACTTCTTTGATTTCAGCACTTGGCAAAATATTGATAATTGCATCTCGGAGCAAGTCAGCAATCATCCGCTTTTTGGTGTGCTGGGCGTACAGGTCGAATAAAGTCTCAACGCTTTCAAGTCTCACTGCCATTGTTGACCTCTCCATGCCATGCGCTAATCGTGAAAGAACAGAGAGAACTTTACAGCTCCTCAATAGCAGCACACGATCACTGATGTGTTTCAGTCCACACGCAATCGAATACAAGAGGAAGGTGCTTGGCAGGTACTTGAGCATCATATCAAGATTTACGGAAGTACACCTGACAAGTTCTTTCAAGGCATTCGACCTCGAGGTCTCGTCTTCAGCATGATTCGAATCATGTAATAGTCTTCGCATTGACAAGATACCAGAAATCTGATCATCGCAGCAAAGGGTGATATCATTCCTTAGGCTCGAGTTACAAGGATCAAGAGCAAGGATTCGAAGCAAGAACGATTCACTCCTGTAGAGAGTGTTGATGTCAAGATTCTCATCACTCAACTTTTGAAAGTCTTCAACCATCAATGAGCAGGCTACCAAGTCCTGAAAATTTCCTTCTGTCTGAAAGTTGATTGCCAACTTCTTCGATTCCTCTGCCAAGTCATCTGGGATATCAGGTCCCATGAGCCAATACGCTCGTCCAATGCTCTCAGCAAAGTGTCCCATGATCTGCAACGGCCTTGGAGTCGAATCTTTTATATCCTCCTCCTTCAAGGCCCGTTTGTCCAGCAGGAAGGCAAAGTAAATCAGTTCTACTTGAAAAGACCGAAGCATTCCCAATGTATACCGCTGCAAACGAACGAGCAAAGTGGACTTGTCTGCGATGTTGCTGCACTCACCACTCTTGAAGTATGAAGCAAGCAATGAACGATACTCTTTAAACAACGATTCGTTCATGTATTTGTTTGCCTTGAACTGCAATTGCCTCAAATTGTTCAAAGCTGTGGGATCCGCTGGATTCTTGTCCAGTATGATAGACATCACTGTCAAGCATCCAGCCTCGAGTTCTCGTAATGGACTTAAAGCCATATCATTTTCCAGTCTTTCTAATCTTTTTTTGAGTTTCTCATAGTTATCTTCAATTTTTGCCATGTCGTTTCTCAATTCCTGAAGATTGTTGTACACTGAAGGAAAAATGGTGAAAACTTTTGCCGAGTCCATATACAATTCGGATTTGAGAGTGGCTTTGAGAACACTGCACAAATGGAACATCAGCTCTGCCCAATAGTTCATTTCTCGAACACCATTGCTGGCATTCATGATCAAACAGATCCAATAATGCTTGCATAGGTGCATCGGTACAAGTCTTCTTACAAGTTCATAGAGTCTATTTGTCCAACCAATCGTTTTAGTTACGACGAGTATCTTCGACATCTTAGCCACCATTGTCGGACAACCTCCGTATACCTGTTCTTGTCCCTCGTGTTGAAACTTCCAACTGATGAACCATCCAAGAACATTTGGGATGATATCTCCCGAGCAAACGCATCGAAGGTTGTCAGGTAAGTTCGAGTCGCATAAGCTCACGAACTCACTGTCACCAACATGTGGTTTGCCGAATGATCTCACAAACACTTGATCTTTCTGAACCAAACCGTGCACAACCAAATCAAGTCCGGCCAACGTCGCCAACGCCCCACCCAGTGAATGCCCGCAAAGAATGACCTGAGAATACTTGCTCGCAGATTCTAACACCTCTGTTTGATACATTGAATCATTCCTGATATCAAGATAGCATTTTAGAAACCCTTTATGTACCCGAGGCGAGCTGCTGCCGCTCGTTTTGAAGCCCCCAATGCTCGAAAGGAGTATCAATGAACATGAGATGTCATCCAAGAAATTCTTCAAGGTCGCTGTGCCTCTGAAAGCAACAACAAGGCACTCTTTCTCATCCTCAGGATTGGTAATCTTCCATATGACTATCTGAGTCCCCCTTCGCTCTAAGATCAGAGGCTTTGCTGAATAGCGAGGCCGTCCAGCAAACAACAGCTCGTCGTCGTCGTCGTCGCCGCCGCCGCCGTCTTCTTCTCCCAGCAATACTTGTTTCGTCCAGTAGGCTGAGAATGCAGCACGAGCACAGTCTAGGATAGGAACAGCGCATGGACTCGTCTCCATCTTCCCCGTCATTGTTTCCGTATCGTCGTCGGTTGGACCCATTACGGCAACCAGCTGTGATCCTATCACCCCCCTCTATTCCCCACCCAACCCCCCTCCTCTGGTACTACTAACCCCCCTTACGTCTGACCACCCTTCTAATTCCGACCTCATCACCCACCCCCCTGACCAGGTCCCACTGAAGAAGTCCGAGACATAAAACTTTATAAAAGGGTACCTCGCCGTCAAGTTCCCGCTCACTCCGGACTAGCTCCTGGTACAAATGTTTTAGTCAAAGGCATTTTTAAAAAACATGTCAGGGTCAAGCCTCCTCGACTCTCTTGACTGTCCTCGTACTAATTTTTAACTTAACTTTGATTCTTATACTTTAGTCAACGTGCCCCGGCTCCTTGCCTCTTCCGGGCCTCCGGCCGGGCTCACCAGGGCCCGAGCCGCCTCAGGGCCTTCTACTCAAAAAAGCTCCGTGGTGCGGTTTCTTGTCCGTTGACCGAATGGTTGAGGTTTGATGGGCGGTTGCGCCATGAGGGTGAGGGTGGGAAGAGAGGGAGAAGAAGATGCGCAGAGGGCGGAGGAGAGGAGGAGGAGAGAAGCAAGGGAAGGAGAGAAGGAACAAGTCTCAAGGCTTTGAAAGAAGGACAAGTAAGAGAGTCGGATATTTCAAGAAACCTTCAACGGAGCGATGGAAGAATCGAAGACGTCCGAAGGTCTGATCAAGAATGCAGGAGGACTGACGGGAACAACTCCTAGAGAGATGGTGCGAGAGGACGGCACATCAGACTTTGCCGGAGTGATCGGAGCCTGGAGGACTCTCATGAAAGTGATAGCTGATGAAGAGGCCAAGGAAGAGAAGGGGGAACAGGAGGAGGCCAGCTCAAAGTTCTCGAGCTCGCTAGCGACACTCTTTCAACTTCAATGTGACCTGATCGAGAGCCTTGAAGGCAACGCAGCTCCGGCAGAGCTGGAGACCGTGATGAAGCGGATAGCTTCGACGTCCTCAGCTCTAGAGCATCGTATGTCCCGAGAGACCGCACAAGGGCAGCGAGATCAAGGCAGCATGTTTCACTATGAGAGAGTGATAGGAGGAGCTATCCTCGCAGGGATCTCTTGGTTGTACTCGGAGGACCCCTCCTACGAGCTCACCAGCGCCATATTCTCCTTGCCTTTCCTCGTCCAACAGCACAAGTTTGACTCCCTGCCTGCCCCTGCCCCCGAGGCCCTGAAGTTGCTCAGAAATCTCCTCTGCGTGTGGAGAGACTTTGCCAAGCTGAGGTTCCCCAAAGGCCTCGAGCTGCAGGCCCGGATGCACACGCAAGTACCAGAAACACAAAAGCAGGACACGGCTGAGAGGGGAGAGGGGAGGAGGAGGGAGAGGAGAGGGAGAGGGAGGGAGAGGGAGAGGGGAGAGGGAGAGGGAGAGGGAGAGGGAGAGGGAGAGGGAGAGGGAGAGGGAGAGGGAGAGGGAGAAAGCAGCAGCATTGCAACCAGCTGATGTTGATGCTCCGCAAGAATCGGAAGGGTTTGCAATCCCCATGGACGATGCTGACAGAGACAGTCGAGAGCTAGTGACGACACTGCCGAATGCCAGACTGACGTCTTTGTCAAGTAACGAAGAAGAGGGAGGAAAGGTGATAGACGACGCAACATCGTTGGTAGGGGGACAGGACGGAAGTCGTGAGAAGGGAGATGTGCATGAAGTAATGCCGGTGGAACCAGAGAGGATTGAAGAGTTTGACGTGTCGACAAGAGAAAAGTCAGAGGAGGAAGAGAGTCAAGAAACGAGCGAAGGAGCACCAAAGATGGATGGGAGTGAAACGATGATGCAGCAAGAGGAAATCAGAAGTTCAGTTGGAGGGCAAAAGGAGGGGGAGCAACAGGACACGTCGAATTTCAAACCAGCAGGCGAGGCATCGAGGGAGGGAGATGAAGGATCATACCAGAAGGAGGAGGAGAATATCCCAGGGGATGAAAAATCAGGGAGAGAAAGCGGGGAAGTCTTGCAGGAGGAAGAAGAGAGTGAGAGGTTGGAAGGAGGTGGGGGGGAGACTAGACCTGTGCTTCCGAGGGACACACAAGACGAGATGGCAGATGTTCACAACCAACTCGATGATGAGTCTGGATGGAATCAACATATCGCTGGAGGAGGAGGAGAAGGAGAGAGAGAAGGAGAAGGAGGAGAGCAAGGAGGAAGAAGAGAAGAGGAACGAGGAGGAGAGGACGAAGGAGTGGAACGAGGAGGAGAGGGAGGAGAAGTGGAGCACGAGACTTTGCAGGCCATCGCTCCAGACATCGTCGTGGCACTGAATTCGATCGTCGAGCTGATCGAGGACATGGAGCTTGACCAGGATGGAGTCTTCGACCTCTTGGACCACAACCGAGACGGCAGGATCACCGTCGACGACCTTGTCTGCGTCTCCGACTGCCATCACCTCGACCTTCATCCGGACCATGTCGCCCAGTTCTACGAGTGGATGAGACTAGGCGCTGAAAGCATCGATAGAGATGTATGGGCGGATGTGCTGCTGAGAGTCGACAGACTTCATCGACTTGCTCAGCAGGAGCAGGAGCAGGAGCAGGTGCAGGTGCAGGTGCAGGTGCAAGTGCAGGAGCAGGAGCAGGAGCAGGAGCTTGAGCAGGAGCAGGAGCAGGTGCAGGTGCAGGTGCAGGTGCAGGAGCTTGAGCAGGAGCTTGAGCAGGAGCAGGAGCAGGAGCAGGAGCAGGAGCAGGAGCAGGAGCAGGAGCAGGAGCAGGAGCAGGAGCAGAAGCAGGAGCAGGAGGATCCAACGATTAGATTTATTGGCTTGGAGGCAAACCTGAAGGATTCAAACCCCCTGGTTGCACATGCAATTTTGAATGTAGTTGGCAGCGAAGACAAGCAGGAGGAAGAGGACGCGACTATGAACTCCAGAGGAGAGGAGGAAGAGAAGCAGGAGCAGGAGCAGGAGCAGGAGCAGGAGCAGGAGCAGGAGCAGGAGGAGAGACAGAGGGGTTTAGAGCTACAAACTGAGACAGAAGGGGATGGGTTGAGAGCCACCGCGGAAAAGGAGGAAGCAACGGGGGCGAGTCTGCAAGGAGAGGAGAGAGGGGAGGAGAGAGAGTCGATAAGCGAGGATGGAGGGTTGATAGGGGAAGGGGATGAAGACGGAAAGACTGAAGTCGTGAGAGAAGGAGAAAAAAAGGTGGAGGCGACTACACAGGACGAGGAGGAGAAAGCTGGGGAGACAGAAGCGGAAACGAGTGTCGAAATGCCTCGAGAACTCAAGGGGCAAGAGGAGGGGCAAGAGGAGGGGCAAGAGGAGGGGCAAGGGAGGGAGCAGCAGGAGGGGGAAGGGGAGGATCAGCTCCAGGAAATCAGTCAAGAAACTAGCACGGAAACCACGAGCGGCCTTTGGGACAAGGACGGAGAAGCAGAAGAGAGGAAGGAGGAAGTGATGAACTTGAAAGAGACGAGAGAAGGATTGAGCAATGGCGAAGAGAAAGTCGAAGTGGTAGAGACAGTCACGCAGGAGCAGGAGCAGGAGCAGGAGCAGGAGCAGGAGCAGGAGCAGGAGCAGGTGAAAGAAGACGTAGATATGCGTGATAACGATCAATCTGGTCAAAGTCAGCAAGAAGAAGAGAAAATGCTGAGAAGTGCAGTTGAAGAGGAGGGGAGAGAAGAAATCTTCATGAGCGGGCAGATAGACCGAGAGAATGCAAGTCAGTCGATGCAGGAAGCAGAAGTGACAAGGGGAGAAGAGGAGGGAGGGGGCGGAGATCAGTCGGCAGAGGCGAAGGAGGCAGAAGAAGGGAAAGAGGAGAATGGAGGAAAGGAGGAGAAGCAGGTAGTCGAAAATCAGTTGGAGACTAGCGGACAGGTATCGATGGTAGAGAAAGAGGATGAAGAAAGAGCAGATGAAGGTTGGAGGACGGGGGGGGGAGGAGGAGAAGGGGAGAAGGAGGAGGGAAAACAGCGGAAGGAAGCTGAAGAAAGGAGGGAGAGAGAGCCAGGAAGTGAAGAAACTTGTGATGAGGATCTTGGAAGAAGTGAAGTAGAACTACAGACAGGAAAGATTGAAATGACAGGAGGAAGAAGCAGAGAGGAATCGAAGGAGGGCGGAGGAAAGGAGGAGACCAATGAAGGAATGGAAGATACGGGAGAGAAAAATGACGGGGAAGATGTAGAGGGAGAGAGTAATGAGGAGAAAACGCCAGAGCAGACAGAAAGGATGGAAGAGAAGGAGGAGAAGGCAAGAGGGAAAGTGGATGAGAGGGAGACGAAGGAGGAAGAGGAACAAGAAAAGGGTACAGGGTTAGACAGACAACAGGTAGCAATAAGTTCAGAGGAGGGCGAGACTGAGGAAAGAAGAGTTGAAGGGTCGGCGGAGATGGGAGAAGCGAGAGGAGAAGACAAGATAGAGGGGAAAGAAGATGAGAAAGAAGCAGTGTCACTCGTTGAGGTGGGAGGAGAAACAAATGGTGATGTGAAGGAGGAGGAGGAGGAAAAGGAGAAGAAACGTGAAGCAGACAGCCAGGAGCAAGAAAAAGGTTTGGAGGCTGCACAACACAAAGAGGTAAAAAGAGGAGGAGAAGAGACAAGGGGTGGAGAGGAGTTTGTGGGGAGGAATGTGCAGAGGAGGAGGAGGAGGAGGAGGAGGAGAAGGAGGAGGAGGGGGGGGTGGGGGGAAAAATAACGGAAGTTAATGAGCAGACGAAGGAAGTGTCCCTTGTATTCCCAGAGGATGAATTGAGAAAGTCGCCTCCTCCGAGCAAGGAGAAGAAAGGTGAAGAACTGACTCCTCCTCCTCCTCCTCCTCATCCTCCTCCTCCTCCTCCTCCTCCTCCTCCTCCCTCTCCTCCTCCCTCTCCTCCTCCCTCTCCTCCTCCTCTTCCTCCTCCTCTTCCTCCTCCTCTTCCTCCTCCTCTTCCTCCTTCTGCTCCTTCTCTTCTTCCTCCTCCTCCTCCTCCTCCCTCTCCTCCTCCTTTCTGTTGTCTAATTCTCCTCCTCCTCCTTGTCTCTCTCACACTCTTCACCCGTAAATCCTCGGATTATCACCATCATCATCATCATCTGCTGCTGCTGCTCGCCTCCCTCCCTCCCCTCCCCTCCCCTCCCCTCCTTCTTCTCCTCCTCCTTCTCTCCCTCCTCCTTGAAGGCTAACCTTCCTCACTCTTTTCTGCTCCAGCACGCGACAAGCCCTTGCTCGTCAGTCTCCTCCACAACTTCGATGGCACTAGAGCTCCCAACAGCCCGCGGTCTCTGCGAGCCTGCGAGCAGGAGGGTATCCTACCTCACGAGCTCGTCCTCAAGCCTCTCGCCGCCTTCAGGGACTTCTCCTCCCCTCCTCGCGTCCACAAGATCCGCTACGAGAGCCATGAGAGGAGGAGAAAGGAGCGACTGCAGGTCGTGCTGGCAGCAGCTCAAGCGATCCGCGACGGAGTGCAGGAGGAGAGGAGAGAGGAGCGAGGAAACAAGACCCAGGAATTGGAGATCAGGCTGGGCCAGGAGCACGAGGAGGGACAGGAGGAGGGGAAGGAAGAGGAGCGTGAGGAGGAGGAGGAGGAGGAGGAGCGAGGTGGGAGTGAGCTGGACCTCTCAGTCTCTTCCATCAGCAGAGGCAGCACAACCTCCACCACCTCTCGCTCTGCTCTCGACCGGACGGCGCACCTGCAGAAGCTGATCGCCGAGCTGAGAAAGCGAGCCGAGAACGAGTTTCAGCTGGAGATGTACAAGAGGAGAGCGCAGAACGAGAAGGAGGTGCAGGCGATACTGCAGGCTGAGACGAGGAGGAGGAGCCTTGAGTTGTCGATCCAGAACAAGATTGACGCGCAGAACAGGAAGGAGGAGGAGCGGAAGGAGGAGGAGCGAGCAAGAGTAGCAGAGCTGCGGAGGCTCGAGGCTGAGCGGCAGATGGCGAAGTTTAGGAGGCAGCAAGAGGAGGAGGAGAGTCTGAAGCGGAAGCAGGCAGAGATGGAGGAGCAGGAGAAGATGAGGAGGGAGAAGGAGAGGCAGGAGATGGAGGCGCAGGAGGAGGAGAGTCGAAGGAAGAAGGAGGAGAAAGAGAGGATACGGGAGGAGAAGGCTGAGAGGAGGAGGAGAGCAGCCCAGCGTGCGGAGGAGGAGAAGAGGAGGAGGATGGAGGAGGTGGAGGTAAAGACGCAGGTCAGGGTAGAGACACTGCAGAAAATGAAGGAGGAGAAGGTGGAGATGCTGGCGCTGCAGGAGAAGAGAAAGCAGCAGAGGAAGGAGGCGGCGCAACAGAATCTTGAGAAGATGGCGCAAGAGAAGGAGGCGAGTCTGATCAGAAAGAGCGAGCACCTTGAGAAACTTCAGTCGCTCCAGGCAGAGAGGAGGAGGCAGATCATGGAGGACCTGATGCGGATGAGCGAGAGGAAGGAGACGAAGCGGCAGCACGCGAAGGAGAAGGCGGAGACGGAGCTGAAGGAGAGGATCACCAAGATTAGGGAGAAAGAGGAAGAGACCTGTCGTCGGCTGGAGGAGAAGAACAAAGAGAGGACGGAGCAAGAGATCCAACGGGCCCTGGAGTCTGAGGTGAGCAGAACTCAGGAAGATCAGAAGAGTAGGGGAAGCAGAGGAGGACGAGGACGAGGAGGACGAGGACGAGGACGAGGACGAGGACGAGGAGGAATGAGCAGTGGAGGGGAAGGAGGTTGGCGAAGGGAGGCGAAGAGAGTGAGGTTTGCCCAGCTCTAGTTATGGAGGAAGAGACTTGGGGAGGAAGGGGAG